TTTTCTCTTCAAGCTCTCCTGCTTGAAACACTTTTCCTGTCAATATCACCAAATATTTTAGAGGCACAAAGGTTTTAGTCAAGGGAAGTATGAAGATCATGATGTTCTTTTCTTAATGAAGTACAGCTTGCAAACCTGCTGATGTTTTATATTTCCTTTTTTTCTACTGCTTAAAAAAAAAAATCTGTGGGCCAGGTGTGGGGGCTTACACCTGTGATCCCAACACTTTGGGAGGCCAAGGTGGGAGGATCACTTGAGCCCAAGAGTTCAAGACTTGCCTGGGCAACATGGTGAGACCCCATCTCTACAAAAAATAAAAACATTAGTCGGATGTGGTGGTGCATGCCTGTGGTCTGAACTATTCAGGAGGCTGAGATGGGAGTGTCACTTGACCCGAGGAGTTCGAGGCTGCAGTAACTGATCACATCATAGGACTCCAGCCTGAGCAACAGAGCAAGAAACCTGTCAAAACAAAACAAAACAAAACAACTTGAGATTTTTAGAGAAAAATAAAACCATCACTACCATCAGTCTAGATTATCTTCCTATCTTTAAAACACACACACACGTGTGTACATTATATATGTGCATATATGTAGTGTGTGTGTGTGTGTCTGTATGTATATATATATAGTTGGCATAATCAGGGTATAAATCGTTTCATGGGCTTTTTGTTTATTCACAAATGTCCAGAAATGGACATAGTCCACAAACTTATTATTCAGTATAACTTAGAGAATTTTTTTCTTTTTGAGACAGTCTTGTTCTGTTGCCCAGGCTGGAGTACAGTAGTGTGATCTCAGCTCACTGCAACCTCTGCCTCCTGGGTTCAAGCAGTTCTCCTGCCTGAGCCTCCCGAGTAGTTGGGACTACAGGTGCGCACCACCACACCTGGCTAATTTTTTTTTGTATTTTTAGTAGAGATGGGGTTTCACCATGTTGGCCAGGGTGCTCTTCAGCTCCTGACCTCAGGTGATCACCTGCCTTGCCTCACAAAGTGTTGGGATTACAAGCATGAGCCACCTGGCTGAATATTTTTATCATTATCCTGAATGGAATTGTTTCTGAATTTTCCGTTCTGTCATTATTATATATAATTACTGTTTTAGAAATTACTTTTTCGTGGGTTATTACGTTGGACTGTGTTCCATTTTAAAATGGATAAAATTTAAAATAGTTTTAAGATTCAATTCAAAAGCCAAACTGGAGTGAGCCCTTGCCAACCACAGTCAAAAGTCTTTTTACGTGAGCCGGGTGCGGTGGCTCAAGCCTGTAATCCCAGCACTTTGGGAGGCCGAGGCGGGTGGATCACAAGGTCAAGAGATCGAGACCATCCTGGTCAACACGGTGAAACCCCGTTTCTACTAAAAATACAAAAAATTAGCTGGGCATGGTGGCGCGTGCCTGTAATCCCAGCTACTCAGGAGGCTCAGGCAGGAGAATTGCCTGAACTCAGGAGGCGGAGGTTGCGGTGAGCCGAGATCGCACCATTGCGCTCCAGCCTGGGTAACAAGAGCAAAACTCCGTCCCCAAAAAAAAAAAAGTCTTTTTACTCTGGAACATCTGTGGATCTATAGGCACAGACATTGAAAGCCTGACTTAAACTACATCCTTCCGTTACAGCATTAAATTTCTGTTCCTGATTTCAGAAACAGGTAACACAGAACATAAATGGATATTGAGATGAAAACATGTAGGGCAGGCATTTAATGGTGGGACCACATGCTCAGTAATCGTTTTGTCCACCAGTGGTTGATTCTGCCTGTGTGTTAACTATTTGAGAACATTGTCTGTGGGAACCCTGGCTGAGTCCTGAATGTCTTTTAAACTGATTCTAGGCAGAGAGAGGTTTTCTGATCAGAGCTGTGAATTTATGGTAACAACTCTACAAAAATAAGTGAATTTTAATTCTTAAAACTGTTGCTTATCCAAGATGTGAGTTCTTCACTATGTACTTTAAAAAGTTTTTGTTAAATTCTGTTTTCATTTTTTCTGTTTTTATTCAGTGTAGAGCATTTTAACGCAAATAAGAGTACAAATAGTTAAGCTCACCGCAAGTAGTCACAATATTTACTATATCATATATCCATGACACACCATCGTTATTACCAAAGCATTACATTAAAACATGTTTTGTATTTATTGTAATTTTATCAGGTGTAAAAGAACAAACATAAAAAGGGTAAATCTCTATTTGCGTTCCACCAGCATCCATGACCATGAGCAGCTAGTTCAATCTCGTTCCTCAAAGGATTAGCTGATTTGTTTAGTCTTTTGAACTTGTTCCTTAAGATTTTTCTCCCCTACCTTGAAGCATAGATAACAGCACTAGGAAATAGAGAGGTCCTCTGCTGATCAAGTACATCCTCCTTCCCAGCATTGCTTATGTCAAAACAAACCAGTGGTGATAATATTTTCTTCCTCTGGTCCTTGACTCAGGGGATGCTATTTTATACACAAGTTCATTGAAGCACCATATTCTTATGGTGTCATTTTAATCTACCTGACCAAAATCTGTTTTGAGACAATATAACACCAAGTCAGGGTTCGGAGGCTAAGTTTTAGTCTTTGTGCTAATTTGTTAAATGACCTTGGGTTTATTTTCTTAATGGGAAATCAAGCAATTCTATAACTTTAGCCTGACTCTTTTTTCTTTTTTAGCTTTTTTCTTACATTTTTAAAACATTTTAAGCCTCATGGAATTGCCTTTATTATTTTCATTTGTAAGGTTAAAAGTTTAAAAATAGGCTATAGGTCCCAGCTACTTGGGAGCCTGAGGCAGGATTATCACTTGAAGCCAGGAGTTCAAAGCTGCAGTGAGCTATGATCACACCTGTGAATAGCCACTGCATTCCAGCCTGGGCAACGTGGCTAGACCCCATTTCAAAAAAAAAAAAAAAAAAAAAAAGAATAGGTTCATGTCTAGTCTGGGCAATATAGTGAGACCCCATCTCTTTAAAAAAAAAACAAAAAAAACAAAAACCCACTTTTTAAATAGAGTTTTAGGGTTTATACAAGCCATTACCTAAATTAAGTGAAAAGTCGGAGGAATTTTGGCAAAAGAGGAGGAAAGATTCTTTATAGGAAACTCTTTGATGTCTTTCAAATGTAGACATTGTATAAAATAGCTTGCTATTTAAAAACAAGACCAGGTGTTCTAACTCCTATAATTACAGTTATGTGTTTATGTACATAGCTTTCCATATACATGCTGACTCCTGCCCTGGATATATAATAGAGCTTTTTCCAAACACACACAGCAAAATAATGTCATTTCTTTCCTAGAGGCAAAGTTTAGTGTAAGAGGTACAACTTGTGACTTGGACCTTCTGTTGGAACATTTAGGTTTGCTAACATGGGGTTCAGGAAAAAGAGATCAAGGAAAAGGCAAACAAAAGCAATAAATTACTACTGAATGCTTTTTGTCATTTAGACAGCTGTGTTTATATCTCATTCATAAATAGATTAGTATAGTGGTTTCCTGTGTAATGACTACAAACATCCAGTTGCACTGGCTTACTTCGACCAGGATAGGTTGGTTTTCTACTCATATACCTGGGCAACCCCTTCAGTAGCCTCTTTCCTTAGGTAGCAACTTACATGGAAGCCACCGGGTGCTTAACAATAGAAGATTCAAGTCTTTGTTGAATAGAGATGCTAAGTAAATGATTTCCGACTATCCTTGGTAATAGAGGGTGATTGTAGCACTGGAGCTGTGTCTCTTTTCATTACAGATTGGGGAAGCTGGGAAATGAGGAAGCTTTTGGAAGCTAGTCCAGTTAGTGTATGTGTTGAAGGTACAGGGACAGATTAAAAACAACCAAGATAAGATTCTGTCAGCTTACCCTCCCAGAGTGAATATGGCCCCAAGCTGGCAAGAAAACAGTTCTAATGGAGACGGGAAATTAAAAGACAGATCTTTCCTCTGACACAGATTAGCAATATAGTATTGAATAAAGCAAGGAAAGACCCTATTTTCCATATCTATAACATGGAGAGGTATTAACATGAAAATAGATTGTTTTCCCTACCAGTTAGGGAAGGCTTCTTTTTAACACAAATGACCACTGTCTTTTGCTTGGTCTCCACTTCTTTAAGGGAAATATCTTTGGAAATGATGACCCATGGGAATGTTTCACAAATATCGCTCATGTTTCTTGAACTACCTAGGTCTGTGTTTGAGTTCATACTGTATCTGGTAGTTGAGTGCTTAGCCAAATAGTTGCTCTGTTTGAAAAGTTCACCTGCTTCTATCTCTGTGGCGGGCTGGTGACTGTTTTATGTCTGTGTTTTACACTGACTGTGCCATCTCTAATGTTCTCCATTCCTGGACTTCTAGGATCATCAGCCTTTTGCAAATGCCCATGATGTGCTAGCCCGCTCCCGCAGTCGAGCCAACGTGCTGAACAAGGTAGAATATGCCCAGCAGCGCTGGAAGCTTCAAGTTCAAGAGCAGCGAAAGTCTGTCTTTGACCGACATGTTGTCCTCAGCTAATTGGGAATTGAATTCAAGGTGACTAGAAAGAAACAGGCAGACAACTCGAAGAAACTGACTAGGTTTTGCTGGGCTTCATTTTAATACCCTGTTGATTTCACCAATTATTACTGGACGATTCAAAACTGGAAGCAAAAACATGCTTGATTTTTTTTCTTGTTAATGTAATAATAGAGACATTTTTAAAAGCACACAGCTCAAAGTCAGCCAATAAGTCTTTTCTTATTTGTGACTTTTACTAAAAATAAATCTGCCTGTAAATTATCTTGATGTCCTTTACCTGGAATAAGCATTCTCTTTTTCACCACATAGTTTTAACTTGATTTTCAAGATAATTTTCAGGGTTTTTGTGGTTTTTTTTGTTTGGTGGGAGAGGGGAGGGATGCCTGGGAAGTGGTTAACAACTTTTTTCAAGTCACTTTACTAAACAAACTTTTGTAAATAGACCTTACCTTCTATTTTTGAGTTTCATTTATATTTTGCAGTGTACCCAGCCTCATCAAAGAGCTGACTTACCCATTTGACTTTTGCACTGACTGTATTATCTGGGTATTTCCTGTGTCTGCACTTCATGGTAAACTGGATCTGAAATGCCTGGTGGCTTTTCACAAAAAGCAGATTTTCTTCATGTACTGTGATGTCTGATGCAATGCATCCTAGAACAAACTGGCCATTTGCTAGTTTACTCTAAAGACTAAACATAGCCTTGATGTGTGTGGTCTCACTCATCTTCTTCTAGTATCTTTAAGGACAGATCCTAAGGACTTGGACACTTGCAATAAAGAAATTTTATTTTAAACCCAAGCCTCCCTGGATTGATAATATATACATACTTAGCATTTCCAGTCATGTTGAGAGGCAGCCGTGTGAGCTCCAAAGTGTGCAGCTTTGAACTAGGGCTGGGGTTGCGGGTGCCTCTTCTGAAAGGTATAACAGTTATTGGATAACTGGCTTTTTTCTTCCTATGTCCTCTTTGAAATGTAACAATAAAATAATTTTTGAAACATCCATCAGTGTATCTATCGCCTAGCTTTTTCCTCCTCTCTTTTGCTATATGAGATTGAAGATATACTTTGTACCCTGTTCTGAGACTACTGTTTTAATACCAACCTAACCGTAAAACATTGGTGTAACTTATCTGTGTGTGCATGTACAGAGAGACAGGATATATGAATTTTGGGGTGGGTTTCTGAAAAGTATACTAACATTTTGATAAATTGGGAGATTTTTAAGTTCCTGAAGGAGTACTTGTTCTGAGAAATTCTTGGCAAAAAAAATAGAAGTACATTAAATTCATAAAAATGAGGTTTTAGGAGCTGTTAATGGGGTTTTGGGGGTTTAGTAAAATTTAGTTTTTTAAGCACCCACAAATATAACTAAAATTATCTATTTTATTGTTAGTATTAAAAGATTTAATTTCAACCATGACCAAGTAGAATTTATCCCAGGTAGGTAAAGCTGTTTCAACATTTGAAAATAATGTAGACTATCACAGCTAAAGGAGAAAAATTACATGACCATATCAGTAGCAGAAAAAGCATTTGACAACCCCATTCATGATAAAAATTCTCAGGAAACTAGGACTAGAGGGGAATTTCAACTAGATTAAAAAATGAGCTTACCAAAAAAAAACCACAGTTAACATCATATACTTAATGAGAAATTAGAAGCTTTCCCCCTAAGATCAGGAATAAGGCAAGGATGTCTTCTCTTACTACTCCTTTTCAATATTGTACTGGAAATCCTAGCCAATGCAATGAGACAAAAAAAGGAAATAAAAGGTATACATATTGGGAAGGAAGAGATAGAACTGTCTTTGTTTACTGATGCAATGATTGTCTATGTAGAAAACCCAGAAGAATTGACAAAAACAAAAGACTAGAACTAATAAGTGATTATAAAAGGTTGCAGGATGCAAAGTTAGTATGCAAAAGTCAATCAAACCAGATGCAGTGGCATGTATCTGCAGTCCCAGCTACTCAGGAGACTGAAGCAGGAAGACTGCTTGAGGCCAGGAGTTTTGAGGCTGCAGTGAGCTATGATTGCTGCATGAATAGCCACTGCACTCCAGCCTGGGAAACAGCAAGACTCTGTCTCTAAAAAATGTCAATCACTTTCCTATATGCCAGCCATGAACAGATTTTGAAATTAAAAACAATAGCATTCACAGTAGCACCCCCAAAATGAAATACTTAGGTATTAATCTAATAAAATGTGTACAAGATCTATATGAGGACAATTGCAAAACTTTAAGTAAACCAAAGAAATAAATGAAGAGAGATTTCATGTTCACTAATGGGAAGCCTCAATATTGTTTAGATGGCAGTTTTTTCCAACTTGATCTATAGATCCAATGAAATCCCAATCAATATCCTAGAAAGTTATTTTGTGGATATTATTCTAAAGGGTATAAAAAGGCAAAAGACAGAGAATAGCCAACACAATATTAAAGGATAACAACAAAGTCAGAACTAACACTACCTTTGAGACTTACTGTAAAACTACAGTAATCATGACAGTATGCTACTGGCAAAAAAGGTCAGTGGAACAGGATACAGAACCCAGAAATAGGCCCATGTAAATACAGTCAACTGATCTTTGACAAAGGAGCAAAAGCAATACAATAGAGTAAAAACAGTCTTTTCAACAAATGGTGCTGGAACAACGGGACAGCCACATGCAAATAAATACATCTAGATACATACCTTATACCCTTCACAAAAGTAACTCAAAGTAGATCATAGGCCTACATGTAAAATGCAAAACTACAAAACTTTTAGAAGATAACAGAATATCTAGATGGTGGTGATGACATATCTGATAAAGGACTGCTATCTAAAATATACAAAGAACACTTAAAACTCAAGAGACAAAAAATTTTGATTTAAAAATGGGCAAAAGTCCTGGACACCTCACCAAGAAAGAGATACAGATGGCAAATAAACATATGAAAAGATGTTCCACATCATATGTCATCAGGGAAATGCAAATTAAAACCACAGTAGGATACCAATACACACTGATCAGAATGTTCAAAATCTAGAATACTGATAACATCAAATCCTCTCATAGATGTGGCACAACAGGAACTTTTGTTTATTGCTGGTGGGAATGCAAAATGGTTCTGCAAACTTACAAAACGAAACATACCCTTACCATATGATCCAGCAATTGTGCTCCATTACACAGACCCCAGCCACTTCTCAACAGGTGACTGGAACACCTGGGAAAGACTCAACCATTCAACTGAAAAAAAAAAAAAAAAAAAAAAAAAAAAAAAAAAAAAAAAAAAAAAAAAAAACAGGAGCCCCCACCCCAAAAAAAAAAAAAAAAAAAAAAAAAATTGAAAATGCTCTGGGGTGAGAGTTTCACAGCAAGCACAGCTGAACCCAGGATGGTCGAGCTTTGTGGGGGAGGGGCGTCCGCCATTACCAAGACAATCAACCACTACCGAGGTGGTCTGCCATAGCTGAGGCAGCCCGCTGTTGCCGAGGCAACCCGCCATTACAGAGAGAGTCCGCCATTACAGAGGTGGGCCACCATTGCCGAAGCAGTACTAACTACACCCATATAAACAGGATTGCAGGGAAGATCACACAGCAACTGGGCGGAGCCCACAGCAGCTCAGCAAAGCCTCTGCAGGCAGACAGTGCCTAGGCTGCCTCCTTGCTGGGCAGGGCAGCCTTGAAAAAAAAGGCAGCGGCACAACAGAAACTCATAAATAAAGCTCTAACTCCCTGGGACAGAGCACCTGGGGAAAAAAAAAGGAGTTTATGAGTTCTGCTGCAGCAGACCTAAATGTACCTGCCCAAGAACTCTGAATGAACAACGGAGCTCACAGCTCAGGACTTGAGCTCCTATAAAGGACAGACTGTCTCCTCAAGCAGCTCCCTGTCCCCCATATATCCAAAGAGTCACCTCATAAAGGAGAGAACAGACTGACATTTGGCAGGTATCCTTCTGGGACAAAGATAGCAGAAGAAGAAACTGGTAGGAACCCTTACTGTCCTGCAGCTGCTGCAGGTGATCCCCAGGCAAGCAAGGCCTGGAGTGGACCTCCAGCAGTCCTACAGCAGAGGGACCAGACTGTTAGAAGGAAAACAAAGAAACAAAAATAACTTCATCATCCACAAACTGGAAGTTCACTCAGAGACCCAATCTAAAAGTCAGCAACTACAAAGACAACAGGTGAATAAATCCACAAAGATGGGAAGAAACCAGCGCAAAAAGGATGAAAACACCTGAAACCAGAACACCTCTCCTCCTACAAGAGATCACAACTCCTCACCAGCAAGGGAACAAGGCTGGATGGAGAAGGAGTGTGATGAATTGACAGAATCAGACTTCAGAAGGTGGATAATAAGAAACTTCTCTGAGCTAAAAGAACATGTTCTAACCCAATGCAAAGAAACTAAGAATGTTGAAAAAAGATTTGACGAAATGCTAATGAGAATGGACAACTTAGAGAGGAATATAAGTGAATTGATGGAGCTGAAAAACACAACACGAGAACTTCGCGAAGCATGCACAAGTTTCAACAGCCAAATTGACCAAGCAGAAGAAAGGATATCAGAGGTCAAAGATCAACTCAATGAAATAAAATGGGAAGGCAAGAATAGAGAAAAAAAGGTAAAAAGGGATGAACAAAGTCTCCAAGAAATGTGGGACTACGTGAAAAGACCTAATCTACGTTTGATAGGTGTACCTGAATGCGACGAAGAGAATGAATCCAAGCTGGAAAATACTCTTCAGGATATTATGCAGAAAAACCTCCCCAACCTAGCAAGGTAGGCAAATATTCAAGTCCAGGAAATACAGAGAACACCACAAAGATATTCCTCAAGAAGAGCAACCCCAAGGCACATAATCGTCAGATTCACCAGGATTGAAATGAAGGAGAAAATGCTAAGGGCAGCCAGAGAGAAAGGTCGGGTTACCCACAAAGGGAAGCCCATCAGACTCACAGCAGATCTCTCAGCAAAAACCCTACAAGCCAGAAGAGAGTGGGGACCAATATTCAACATCCTTAAAGAAAAAAACTTTCAACCCAGAATTTCATATCCAGCCAAACTAAGCTTCATAAGTGAAGGAAAATAAAATCCGTTGCGAACAAGCAAGTACTCAGAGATTTAATCACCACCAGGCCTGCTTTACAAGAGCCCCTGAAAGAGGCTCTACACATAGAAAGGAACAACCAGCACCAGCCACTCCAAAAACATACCAAATGGTAAAAAGCATCAACACGATGAAGAATCTGCATCAACTAACGGGCAAAACAGCCAGCTAGCATCAAAATGGTAGTATCAAATTCACACATAACAATATTAACCGTAAATGTAAATGGACTAAATGCCTCAATCAAAAGACACAGCCTGGCAAAATGGGTAAAAAGCCAAAACTCATCGGTGTGCTGTATCCAGGAAACCCATCTCAGATGCAAGGATACACAAAGTCTCAAAATAAAGGGATGGAGGAAGATTTACCAAGCCAATGGAGAGCATAAAAAAGCAGGAGTTGAAATTCTCATCTCTGATCAAATAGATTTTAAGCAACAAAGATCAAAAGAGACAAAGAAGGACACTACATAATGGTAAAAGGATCAATGCAACAAGAAGAGCTAATGATCCTAAATATATACGCACCCAATACAGGAGCACCCAGATACATAAAGCAAGTTCTTAATGACTTACAAAGAGACTTAGACTCCCACACAATAATAGTGGGAGATTTTAACACCCCATTGTCAATATTAGATAGATCAACCAGACAGAAAATTAACAAGGATATCCAGGACTTGAACTCAGACCTGGAACAAGCAAACCTAATAGACATTTACAGAACTCTCCACCCCAAATCCACAGAATATATATTCTTCCCAGCAGCACATCACACCTACTCTAAAACTGACCACATAATTGGAAGTAAATCACTTCTAAGCAAATGCAAAAGAATGGAAATCATAACAGTCTCTCAGACTACAGTGCAATCGAGTTAGAACTCAGAATGTA